ATCGAAAAATGACTTTGTTCAAGAATTCTACTGCAGAGTCTTGTAATTTTCGTTTAGTTAATACTAACAAATTAAATTACGATTATTTCAACAATTAGAAAGAAAAGATTTTGAAAGATTTGTCAACTTTTAGAATAATTTTCAAATCTTTAATCAATTAGTTTGTGTATTTCAATCAAAATTAAGATGATTTCTAAAATAAGTTTTAAATGTTAATCATAGCAATCGATCTATTTTAATCGGATCAAAAATAAAAAAAAATTATTCAGAAACTTTGTGCCGATTTTATCAATTGTTTCAAAACGTGAATTCTACTTATAGGATACGTTGTTTCAATTAAATGAATACGGAAATGACAAAACATTTCTATTTCACAGTAATAATCAAAATCTTTAAAGTTAGATTGAAGTTAAATTTTTTGTAAAATTTTATATAAATCTACTCAAGTTAGACTATGTATGACTGACAAAAAAGTGCTCATTTTTGCTTTTTTTTTTACACTTGTATCTGAAGAAAAAAAAAAAGTTTTCTCCTTGACCTTGAAGGACAATCATGCATTTGAATAGGATTATTTTAGGCTTTTCTTTGTGTTTCTTTTATCTCAACGACAAAACCTGAATCATTCATCCGTCGAATCACTTTCGTTATCAATGCGTCGGTGAATCGTATCTTTTCTTTTTTCTAATTTTGTTTCGTTCACAATGCAACAAAAGAAAATGTGTAACATTGCGAGATAGAAATTTCTCATAGAACGATAAATTAATCTATTTTACGTCGTAATTTCTTTCCTTCAACAAGCGAATCTTCTTCGTTGAAACTTTTAGATTCTCTTCTATTTACATTTAGAATATGTCATCAACAAAACATATTCGACGTATTATCAAAACAACAACAGGTGGACGTTCCAATGCACCTTATAGGTAAATTAAAAAAATCAATATCTTTAAATCGATAGTTCAAACATATAACTATTCAATTTAGTCAAGCGGTTCAAATTGATCAAATGCTTTATCTTAGTGGAGCTGTTGGACTTGATACCGAGACAGGAAAATTTGCTGGTGATACTATTGAAGAGCAAACTCGACAGGTAGTACTAATTCTTAAAATCAAACAATGGATAGATAATCACTTAAGTACTTGATTTACTTTTTTTCTATGTCTAATAGGCTTAGGCTTTTTTTTGAGACCAATGAAATAATCTTTTCAGAGGCTCAAAAAATAGTTTGAACGAAAAATTTTTCCGTCCACTTGTACACTTCCATTATCGCAATTTGAAAGTAAATGTTGACATCTTCATTAATATATTCAAATTATAGAGCAGAAGCTATTTCAAAAAAAAATGTACTATTGGAGTTTTTATAGAGATCAGTTCAATTTTCATTTCTTGTAAACTCTTATTTTTAACAAATCGATATTTAGGTAAAGGATCACAAGTTACTTCAATATAAAATTTTGTAAAGAATTGTGCGCTCAATAAAACAATCGACTGGAATATTTTTTTGACAACTTCGAAAATGAACTTATAAGAGTTAACAAAATTGTATTAACTCACTATTCAACCTCGTTTTTTTTTAGTCTTTAACAGATTTCTTCGCCAGGTCTCGAATGAAAAGTGAGATGAAATTTCTAAGTCCTTATTCGAAAAGTGTACAATATGCTGACCTTAATTCATAAGTTTCAACTCCTCGACAACAGTTTCAAGGAAGCCAAAAATAAACAAATATTTTGTTTCGAAACCTTCGGTTCATCATTTATTCTCTTAATCTAACTATGTCGCTTAGGTAGAATAAAAATCCTAAGATTTGAATGGAGCAAATTGAAATTAACTACTTATCTAAAGAGAAGCCGTATTGGAGTAATGATTATTATTCATTAGCATCAGATAATTACAGAATAATATAATTTTTTCGCGTTTTTTTAACGTGTATTGTTCTCGTTTGAAAATGTCAACTAGAAATAGGACTGAAAATCGAAAAAGTTTCATGTATATGATATATTAGAAATTTAGGTCACGAACCACATTCACGTTAAGTATTTCAATATAAAAATAAAATATTTTTTCTCTCAAAGTCTCGATAATACTTTTTTCAGTTGCATTATGCTACCTATAATCATATCGATAAACTAAAAATCTTTCACAAACTTATCTTTGCGATTCTATAATGATGAAAGTTAGGTTAGACAAGTGTATAAAAAACTAAAAATTTGTTTACTTAAAGAAAAAACGTTACAAAAGTATTAACGAGATTTTTCGTAATTAAATAAGTTGATTTCTTAACATCTATAAATGGATTTCGGATTGTATCTGTAATCAGCATATTTTGGAGATATAAAAGATATTTTGAATATTTTTTTTCATTGAAAAACATCCACACCCTTCAATCACGATATAAAGGTTGCAAGTAAGAAAAACCAACGAGAAAAAAATATTCTATCACCTAGCTGTGTAGTTTCAACTGCAGAATCGCAGCGAAATATCAAGGATAAGAAGAAGTCAAGGACATATCCTTTGTTTTCAACCACAAAATGGAAAGAAGAAAACTAGGATTGAGAAATTGGTTTTTTTTTTCAGAAGAAAGGGAGAAGTGGTCGATATCAGAGTCTGACTGAAGCCAAGTCATTCAGGTCACAAAAACTAGATCCATGTGAGTTACAGTCGGATGTAGCTTTAAAATAGAAGCAGTTATCATTATTTAATCTTGTATTAATTCATTATAGACACTAAAAAATTTGGGAGAAGTGTTAAAAGCAGCTGGTGTTTCATACAAAAATGGTAAGTAAATAGAGTGAATAAATACGATGAAATTGATGGTTTTTTATTAATTTAGTGATAAAAGTCAATGTATTTCTTCAAGATATGAATGATTTTGCGGCTATGAACGCAGTCTATGCTGAGGGTAGCTGATTGTTTAGTCAGAAAATTGAACAATGTTTTTATTTGTTAATTCTAGTGTTTCCTGAACGTTATCCAGCTCGATCAGCAGTTCAAGTGGCTGGTCTTCCATTGGTAAATTCTAAAGTTTTTAATCTCTAAAATGCTTCATTAAAAATTTAGAATGCCAAGGTTGAAATCGAGGCAGTGGCCATCATGGGTGATATTGAAGATCAATAACTTATCATTCATCTTATGTTTATTATTCATTGATCATTAATTTTTCGTCACTTCAATTCTTGTTTTTGTTTTTAATATTATATTTTTATTTGATTCAGTGATATTGAGAAGTTAAAGAAAAAAAAAATCTTTTAAAGAAATGTAAATGAAAATACTAAAAAGAGTCAACATGTTTGTCTTCATTTATCTGGAAAAATAATGGAAAAGACTGATATATTATTTAACAAAAGCTGTTCATATTTCTTTATCAGTCTTTTACTTAGTTCTTTAGAAATGCAATAAGAAAATAATTTTATATATTAGGACAAGACATCACTGATGCACCGTCTATGATTGTATGTTAATAACGTGTGTCGCGGCTTGTGTGGAGAACAGGGTAGATCCAAATTTTTATTCTCACGCTCCAACACTCCATTTAGATCACGTTTCATAAAATGTCACTAGTTTTACAAGATGAATTCATTTTAAAAAGTTCTTCACTGTTAAAAGTAATTCATATGTTTCTAAATTGGATCAATTATAAAATTTTATTACATAATATGTTAACGCTTAAATAATAACCATATTTTAATTCTATTTAACAATTCTAAAGAGTACCTCTTAAATCAAGAGATGTATTGTGTTTCTTTTACTTATTTGAAAAGAAAATGTATTCAATAAAAATACTTTACAGTACGGATAAATTTTGTAACACTAATTATTACAGATACATTATATCAATTCTTAAATTTTATATGTGATTGAAGAATAGTGAAAAATCACTCGTTGTTTCATGATAATTTCTATGACCAAAGTTCAACAAAGAAACGTTTTACTTGTTAACAAAGTAAACGACAGCTAACTTTCATTCCTTAATTTGGACGTGGATATGGTGAGTGTGAGTCTTCTCGCCTTCCATATCCGCCCTCGCTCACACCCTCATCGTTGTCATGATGCTGAAGTAAATCTTTCCTGTGAATACTATAATCAATTCTAAAGGACGAAACCAAATTCATTACTCTCCTCAAAGTCTTGGACATAGTTTTTGATGCGTCATAAATGGAACCTGTAAAGCTGTCCATCACTGTTCCAATCATTATGTTTTTAGGTGGAAATGATGGCTTATTTACTCTTTGAGGGTGTGCAGACGTGGATTTTCGGTTTACTAATATTCACACTCACCTAGATTTTTTTTGTTGTCTTTGAATTCTTCAGTCTTCTATTTTCTAAATCTAATATTAAGAAAATGCATTTCTCTCTGAATAGAAATGTTTGATCGGTAGCCACTTAAGATGGCACCATAGCCTTTATCATTTTCTAAATTAAAGAAAACAGCCATGAACTACTTGACTATTTATCTACAACAGGATAATTGATAGATTGAAGTAGAAAGAGAATTTTGGCATTCAAATAAGCACCGATGTTAACTTTCTGAGCATCGAAGAATTATGCATTGATTATCTACCAAATTATTTAAAATTTCTTTTTGCAATTACTCTTTGTAGGAATGGCGTAGTATGTATGACGGAATTTAAAGAAAGTGATCCACAATTCGAAAACCTATTTCCTACACTTCATTACCCTGAACTTTTTACACACATAAAAGGAATAATACGCATATCTAGTCATGAACTCTGAATTTATTAAATATACTTGTCGACTGAGCAATAAAACTTAATGAATTTGGTTATCAACAGCTGGCTGAAGTCTGCTTAAAGTAATTATTATTATTATTAACCGTTTTGGTATGAATAATTTTTCGAATGCTCAATTACTAAACAAGAAGAAGAATTTGAAATTTAACAGCTTCATTCTAGCTAGTCGATATCAATGTTAGCTAAATGCGTATCTTTCAGAATCAAAGGTAACATGTAAATTGTATTCAAAGAGTTAAACAGATTTCTTTTTATTAAATTGATATACAATCAAGTCGTTTTCGATACCAATCGCGTTCGAAATCAAGATTATATCTTTCACATAAATCTGAAAATTTTCTGTACATTTGTTCAATATTGAACTTTAGAGATGATTGTAATTTACGTAAACAAACTGGACAGACAAAAAGTGGTTGTTGATCCATTTCAATTTGATTGTTTGCACCATTCATTAGACATAGATAATAAATGCAATGTTTCAGACCAAAAAGATGACCGATTTCATGAAGAAGAATTTTGACACAACGTCGAAGAATAATTGTACGATCCACATCAGTTAACTTCATATTCATCGATTTGTGTGGTGGCATGGGAAATAATGGATCGAGACGAGAAAACGAATAGACACCGTAACTATCTGTGACTCGAGCTTGTCCATAAACAAAATTGTATGTTTCATCTGGATAAATATCGGCCATGGTCACAGCAACACATAACAATTCTTCACGTGCATTACGTTGACTTCGTGTATGAGCAAGGTATTCAAACAGACCTTTTGTTTGATATTGAATTTGTTTAGTTCCACTGTTAATTCGATTTGGCATTGATTCAGTAAAATCAACCATCGGTAAAATTTTGACATCGCATCCCAAAAAGAATGCTTGGGCGAATTCACCAATCAATTCAAGAGGTGGAGCTCTATATGTATGGACGTATTCAATTAGAAATTATTCGATTGTCCTTAGTTAGTACCTACCTTGGATGTTCAAAACTACCGATTGGCTGGATATAGATCGTTTTGAATCTATAAGTACATAGAATGATCGACATATAAAAAAGCCAAATGTAACGATACTACTGATTTCAAAAAGAAAAAAAAATATTGTTGTTATAACTGACCACCGGTAGTAGCTAGTGATCTACGGTTTTCACTCGCACAAAGAGAAATAAGAATTTGACAGATGTATTGTTAATACTGATAACTAAGCTAGTTGACCATTGGTCAGACTGTTTTCAGATTCTCTAGTCAAAAGTTTTTCAGTTCTATTCTATATTTAAAAATTACTATTAAAAGAGAACAAAGCTCTCTTGTGATATGCATATGGCTAAACTGGCTAGATTATTTTGTTCAAAAGCCATGAGCATTTTGTAGAGAGGTTCGGTTAGTATTTCTTTCAAAGATTCGTATTACAGTGTAAGTTTAAAAGGTATCTGTACCTTTTTCACGTTTTCCTGACAAGAAACAAAGTGATGTTTTCCAAATATCAATAATTTCAAAGCTTTTGCTTTTATTTGAAACACTTAATTTTACCATTAGAAACACTAACTCTAATTGTATCCATTTGATTGATTGCTGTCCTTGGTTTGCGAGTCCAAAGCAACCTGATGTCACAATATCGAGATTCCTGAAAATTCAACTTCTACCTCTATGAGACAAAGAGAGCTAATAATTTTAAAAATTTTAATACATTGACTTCAGATTACTATGAAACTGAAGAGCTGCATCAGCAATCGATCGAAAGTAATCGACTGGTCCTATATAGATTTATTTCAGACTCATTGACGTTCAAATGGACAAAGTCAGAGTACTCTGAAAAACAATTATGGTCTCAGAATGAAAGAATCTAGCGAGTTTAGCCTTGTTAAGATTGAAAGGGAACTATTTTCTCCAATGAATAGTAATTTTCAAAAATAAAAATTGAACTAAAACATTTTCACTGGACGATCCGAGAAAAGTTTCACAAATTGATAGGCTAGCTGAGTTATCAGACCTATAACGAAACTATCAAATGTTTATTAATCTTTCTATGAATGAAAGTGACAGATCGATAACCGCCACCACTTGACAGTTATTACAAAAATACCCTTTTCTTTTGAAATGGACGATACTTGCGTTGAGTGAGGAATTGCTTTGGAAACAACTTGTTCGAATGATTTAAATGTTTGACCATATTCTTGACGTTGATTTAGCCATCCCCAATAGTCAGGCTCTGGTATTGATGCAAAACTTTCGTTGATTCGATTCGTAAGAGCTTTTTGAATATCTGTCGGCAACTAAACAATGATTCATTATGTGAATATAATCAACAGTAATAAAAAATTACATGAATTCAATGAACGAACCTGTGCAGTATCACCAAGTGCTTCATCAATTTGTTCTTCAGTTGGTGGTACAAATGTCATGTTGCTATCGCATTAAAAAGAAATGACTGTCATGTTATAGCTTCGATTTATATTATGTGTAATACTTACGCAATAGTTAACATTCTTTGCTCAAGTTTGAAATGACTCATGGAAAGAGAACCACAGTAATAAATATTTTTCAAGATGCAAGTAATCTATATCGGAAGTGAAAACTAGACAATGGTTTGTTTTTTAAAGTTTTGCATCAAAAGAGCATCATTGCAAAGCTTAAGATGGTGACCAGCTTACACAAGGTATTGGAAAACAGTTGAAACAAATATCTATCCTTTCTCTATGAATAGACGTTTGTAGAGTATGAATGGTGTGGATTTTCTGGTCTTCTACACCCACACTCACACTCATGGACACCGACATGCTCTACAAGCAAACGTTCGGTTATCAGTCTCTTCCACTACAAATGCCCATGAACGTATAGTAGTCGATATTTACCTCTGAATATTCTTCCTAAGACATATATTAATGTTTCTATTATGCAATTAGCTGAAAAGTGACTGATCGTTCTCGACACAGATATAAATCAAAATTTGTCCGAACCTCATCGAGAATATTCTGTTCACAATATATTACTCATGTGATCACTCTATACAATTTAATTTTACATTCAGTCGCGATTTCTGTCAATAGTCCACCCTAAAAAAACTTTAAACAACACACCTACACTTCCATCTTCACTACGTTTCAGAGTCGTACAATGTAAGAATCCCTTATTAATACATAGAAATGATCTGCTGCTAAGAATTAGCTAAAGGCTCTCCAGCAAATACATCTTGAAACATTTGTATCATGCTATTCCAATAGGCTTCGATAAGGGTCTCGCCTTTAGTATAGTGCGAAGGCATAGTTGTAGAATTGAAGAATCTCTCTGCATAGGTGCAAGGCTCACTGACAGTTCCAAAAGGTTCTGTAATGCCCCAAGCAATAAACCGAGGTCAAACATTTAATATGAACCGGTGAGCATGGATTCATGTTAATATTGCTGATAACTTGCAATCCTTGGAAATAAAAAAGTGCATCGATGATTCTTGCAATCCAATCAGCATTCTTGATCTGAGGGTAGACGTAAGAACTCAAGTTTTTCCTTAAATTACCAACAGGAAAGATTCTGGCTCGAAGACTTCTTAGTTCATCACTCGTGCTCATGATGTAAGCAGACCCTTGTAGGTGTGTTCCGTCAGAAGCAACTCCTAGATCAACCAACTGTTTGGCGTGTTCAATACTTAGTACTGTGAATATCACATTGCTGGGCATATTTTGAAACCGAGAAACGGCTGAATCGAAGTAGATCCGTAGTATGGTGATGAAGTGGCTCAAGCGCATGTTCTTGTAATACAAGGACTTTCCATGAAGCCAAATGCCAATGCTGACGTGACTGAGCTACAGTCGACACTAGATGGCATTGTCCATGTAATCGGAAGTGTCTGTACAGTTTTAGGCAACATCGGATCGACTTGAGCCTTCAAGAGGATGAAATTTAGCTCGACTTAGTTGGATCATATTCGACATATTGAAATGAACAATATTCTCTAAAGGAATATTACGACGTTTTTGATAGTATTCGCCGAAAATAACGCTATCTGGATCGCTGTCATTAATTAGACGAGAAAGTTGTCGAGGCTGAAGACTACTTCTTTCAGGCCGTGTTACTATAATTTGTGGTGTTTTTTGTGCAAGTCCCCTTTCTAGAATTGAAATTACCATGAAATAATAAGTAACTCCATTATGGAGGCTGGGGACCATAAATGAACCGACAGCTGACTTCATTGTCTTTTGATAAGTTCTGAAAGTTAAACCATAATTAACTCAATAACGCATCGCTCCGAGCACCTCATTTCAAGTCAAGTACACGTTTCCATCATCGGACACTCCATTCAAGATTGAGAAATTTGTTAATGGCGAAGTATCTAAAATTAAAAAGATCTTCCATAAAGTTTGATATTGACTGATTAAAAGTTCAGCTTCGATAGGATTCTACATACACACGCAATCTTTTTGGGCACATATCGTTAGGAATATCCTCTTAAGCATCAAGGCAAAACAGTCACACTTCAATTTTGTTATAATACTAATTAAATAAAATTTTAAAAAACAGTAAATTTATTGAAAATCGATATTGTATTAGTACAAGAAATATTTAATAAGAAAAGATATTTTAGCTACATACGTCTTATGTCGCACTGATGATAAAATAGAATAGTAAAATGAAGAAATAAATAGATTATGATGCACAGTTAAATATATCGAACAGTAGATAAAAAAATCGAATATATGGTGCCCATCTGCAGAATGTAAGTGTGAGTGTGAGGGGTTAGATAAGTGTTAGCTTTCTCCACAGGCATCTTCAAATCAGCATTCACATTCTAGTCTTTCAAAATCAAGTATGTTTTCGAATACAGTTATAAAGTGCTTGTGACGGCATCCATTTATTGAAAAAATCCTCAATGAAATTAGTAAAATAGCATTAATCGTTTCGAATTTGATATAATGCAGCAGAAGAATGCATTGCGTCCAAAAGCGTTTTATGATGAATCTAGAAGTGCACATTTTATACGAGTTGTTCGAATATTCACTCTTGTTTTTCTGTCGACGTGTCTTAAAGATGTTAGATTGTAGGAATGTGGTCATTGGTAAACAGAGACCCCACGTCCATACCTCCCTTAGCTAACTGTTCGATTCAATTGAGCTTGTTGAATAAATAGAAATTGCAACAACATAGAGAAGACAAGAAAAAAAGAGTATAAAATGGAATTTTTTGGCAAGATATCGGAAAATACTAGATCCAGCTCGTCTATCTCATTATCGACAATACAGCTATGGTTGACACATTTCAAATTCAAAGCCTAGACAAATTTCCATCAAAAGACCATTGTATTAACGAAAACCAATGAAGACACCATAATATTGTTCTAACATAGAAAAATGTCATTAATACCTAGTGAGAGCCCGCTAACACTTGCCGTGAACGTCACAGCGTTTGATTCATGGTGAAACTGACAAGGCGGGATAATGGTAATGAAGACTTCTCTTACTCTTAATTGATACTCACATAATGAGTCGTTTAGAATACGTTTTCTTGTGACTGTAAATGCGAAATGAGAAGATGAATCAGACGTGAACATTCTTTCAACCAAACTCACTTGTCTCTGAACCATATTTTCGAACCTATCTATCATTGTGTTCAACAAGAGAATTTTTCGATAGAACTATGCAGAAATTGGACATTAGAGTGCCTGAGTCGGTGTCAATAGTCTAATGCAGGTCGGTGATTCATTCTGTGCAGTTGAGGTCGACGAAAGTTGCTGCGGCAAACAGAAGAATTATGGTGGATGTGTTGTTCTAGTAGAATCGTAAACCTTTGGTGAAATAAAGGTTCACATACGACGATCCTTTATAGTTCCTGTTGATTAGTGAGACCTACAGGTATCAATTTTAATTATCAGTCAATACATTCTAACCGGGAACGTACCTTGCTGCAGATGGATGGTGTATCTAACTTACACTTTGCAACAATGCCAACTACTTTCATTTGACCGTAAACGCCTTAGTAAATTACATAGATCCAAAAACTAGTGTTCCTGCTCATAATGTCGAAAATGTTTGGTTGAAGCCAAAATTTAAATAAAAGAAACAATTCTATCTTCATCGTACATAAATCAACTCTTAGTCCTAAGAAAATATACACATGGTGACAAGAATTCTATGATAAGTTCTGCGAACACATTGTTCGTCAAATTTCTGCTCTCTATTCTGTAACATAATTCCCTTTGACTGTTTTTTTTCAAATATTTGATGTCTCTCTCACATCATGTATTGGGTATCTGTCAATCACTTGACATACATCCTATAATCTAGCGTTATCTTCCAAAAACTTCTTTGATTTGATCTATTGCTTTGACCAATCGACTCTTTTTCTCTTTTTATCATTAGTCAGTAATGTTCCATGCAAGCTATAAGTGTATTTATGACTTGTTCGGATGCATTACTTCATTGATCTAATGATTTTTTTCAATGGCAGCAGAATACGTCATAGACGAAAACTAGTCAAGATAGAATCAAACAATGGTGACTATTATCAAAAAGATAAGCCAGCATGATTCATATTTGTACATTCCTCATTTCTGTTCCCGTTCTTTCACTTCATTGGTAGTAACGTTCTGTTTTATCTTAGTGTTCGATTCGATTTAAAGCGCACCAATAGATTGATTGTCTTGACATTTTAGATATGAGCGCCCATTCACGACCAGATTTGTGTTTACTCAGTTGGAATATTTTAGCACCTTGTTGGGTAAATCAAGATTGGTATCCAACTCTATTCGAGATAGCGGTGAATCATCGTGAACGAATAAACAAGATTGCCAATAGAATCTTATCACTTGAGCACGATATTGTCCTAATTCAAGAGGCACAGGAAGATACTGTTCAATTATTGAGAAAAAAACTAGACGAGCATTATGTATTTCATTCGGCATGGAACCATCCAACTGCAGCATCCGTACGCAATGGTCTTCTGACATTAATCAGGAAGGATTGGAAATATGCTTCGACAGCGAGGATGACCCACAGTATTCTTGATTTGGACAAAGGTGAAGCCATTCAGATTATAACAATACCTTCCAAGAATATTCATATCGTCAATCTTCATCTCGATTATATCGATCGATTAGACCAAGCTAAGATGGTGAAAGACAAGTGTAGAATAATGCTTGGTACTGATAATCTTGTGACTATTATAGCTGGCGACATGAATGCCGAAACAGATGAATGTGATAGATTCGAATGGAATGAATTTAAAGATGTTTTTCGTGAATCGAATCACTGTATACGAATTCCAACCTATTATCCGGATCCAGCATGTTCAGAATGCAATACAGCCGTTGATCATATATTCTATAATCCACATCAAATCAAATTGATTGAAAACGGTAAAGCATGGGATACTCCAAATGGAACACTCAAAGATGCTCTAACACAGTTCGGAAGCGACCATATCTATATTTGGGCCAATTTCAACTTTCATCCATAAGCGAATTAAATCGAAGAGAAAACACTTGGCTTAATCGAATTTCGTTTGATGTTCTTGTATACTGTTAGTGATATACTTTGTGAAATTCGTTTGCTTGCGAGTGTTGAACTATATGGCGAAAAACCTGAGATAAAACTCACTTCTTCAACGAAATATATTCACCGTACAGAAATGAGAAATTCAAGGAGATTACGTGAGATTCATTGTTGAGAGCGTGCACATCCGAATTGTATGCGCCAATCTTTGTAAACTCATTAGTGGAGTTATGTGTGACAGTGTTTCAAGCCTCTTCATTGTGGAATACCTTGAATTACCTAAACTGCTTCGAAATCCAAACAATTCGAGAAAATCAAGTGGAATTAACAGTTTGGTGCTCCTGAATTGAGATTGTATGTGTCAGTCTTCGTAACTTCTTCAGTGGATTTATGTTTCTTAATGTTTCGAGCTACCTTCATTTTTGAATACCTCAAGTTTGCCGGCCTCTACTTCAATATCTTTTGAATTTTCAATTTCTAAATGTCACACCCATCCTCGATGTTTAGCTTCAATCTAATGTTTTCTTCACACATTTTCCTCTTCGACTTTTTTCTTTCCTGCTTTTTCTGTCAATATAGTTTTGTCCGATATGTAGACTTCATAAAAGGAACGGAGACATACATGATTGACTATATGTCACTGCGAAAAAAAAACTGTCATTGGTTAAATAGGCTAAAACAAATGTAATCTAATAGCTCATCAAAATTATCATCTAGTCAATTTGTGGCGCTTCACCAATTCTCACTGTAACGTTCACTAAAAAAAAACATTCATACCACACCCTCCTTTGACAATCGCACACAATGAAACCCAGTGTCATCTATCTTTCATCGGTTAAGACTAATAGAAGCTCTCTATTTATCAATGCCGATGTTTGCTGTATATATTCAAAGGTGTGTTATCGAATATCGTAGGTCATATCAAGTGCAGAACTCGAGATAAGCAATCTACATTTGGAGATGAAATATATGCTAGAGAAACGGCATATTTATTGCTCGTGTCTCGTAGAATTCTCGATCGAAATTCATACCTTTGTGAATTCTTCACTACAGACGATAGTTATTATTTTGAATGCATACAGCTATAGTAACAGAGAGCAAAGAGATAGAATCTAGTCGAACAGATGATTTTTCAGAGCCGTTGACCCATCGTTTAGCCGATATCTTCGATTGTGAATCAATCTCGCAATTAGTCAATGGTGCCCATCGTGGTGAATCATCTCGTCAAGATTGGACTAACAGTGATGAGTGTGTTGAAGGTCCAAGAATCGACTATGATATGTTGATGCAGATGATTACCGATGACAGTTCAGTTTTTTTGCTGTTTTTCGATCGAGAATCAAAAGTTTTAATTTTGGTTGCGTCTCGTTGCAAGACGCCGCGATGACTAAGAATATTCGTACAGATTGTTCCGTTCCTTTACAGTATGATAAAGAAATCAAAAGTACTCTTCTTGAAATGTTAGTCGTGCGTCCTGACCTACAAAAATAAGGCTACAGAAAATTCATTATATCAGTGGCCGAAAACTTTGCTCGTCGTCCTTGGCATGCCCAATTAATGAAAATGAGCATTCTTGTCTAACGAGCTGAATTAGTCGCTTATTACTTTCGTCGTGGTTATTCTGACACTGGTCGACGGCAACCATTTTCCACGCCTGACACTCGAGTTGGCGTCCCAAAGAAAAATGATTTGGAAATTTGTATTTTGGCAAAATATCTCTAAAGCGTCATAAATCGAATTGCTGAAATATTGCTTTCGGACTATTTATGAGAGACTTTATTAGGCGACAAAAATTTTTTCTACTAGAAAAAGAGCTAACTATAATACTTTTTCGATGTTGGCCAATACTTTCTTGCTGTTTTAATTCAAACCGATAATTAAATATTTATCTTTATTCTTAAATGATAGTCTAATATAGTTTATTTATGGAAGCCTATTCGTCTGTCTCAAGATTCTCACTGACCATCAAAAGTATTTCTACGTCGTATTGCCAAAAAAACTGGATTTTCGACAATTGCCGAAAGTTCAATTGATTTGAGATCAAAGTTTCAATACAAACACAACTTTTGGCAATTGCCGAAAGTCAACTGCCAAAGTTGTACTGCAAAATTCATGCTATCCAGATAAACGTGATTATCATGGCGGAGTTGATAACACTAGCTAATTTTAATAATTACATCTCAAAAAGAAAGCATTATCTGTAAATTCTGTCGAGATACAGAGTCACAACCTCGAAATTATTTCAAGTTAAATGATTGTATTAGACTTGTAGTTTAGATCGATACTATTATTTTCATGTGCATAGTTATTTACAGGCGTTATTATGGATCGAAAAGTTACATCATTAATTCTTCCTAGTCAAATACGAAAGTCTACGGGATGCGTGTGTTTGCAGAAAATTTTCAGAAACTCGCGTTTACTTACAATAGATTTTTTAAAGTATAGTGTCTTATTAATGAAGATGCAAACTATTTTAAAGATTTGCAATCTTTGTGAGTAAATGCAAGACGACAGCATATACACAGATGTACAGATCGCAAACACGTGTATAGAGAAACAATTTTCAAAATTTTTAAGCAAACCATATGATACCGTGTATGGCTTTTATTAGTGCATGTTTATGCAAAATGTTACCAGCGTGTGCCTGAAAAATGACTAGAATTTTGTTAAATTCTGCATGTTAGTGCAAAAAGGTCGTATTTATGAGAACTATCACTAAAATTATTCTGCATTGATATGCAAACTACTGCAATTTGTGTAGGATGCATGCTGCTCTGTGCAAGAGTGCAATATTTTTCTTCAGCATTTATATATGTGTTCCAAATTAACATGAGACCATTCTTATATACTCTCACTATATTGGTTCAAAAACCTTGTTCAATTTTTCGAATTCACTTATAGTTATTAGGATTCATGTGCACATGTCCGTAGTAGTTATCTTCGTTTATTGCGCATTCTGAAATTGCCTTACATGTACACGCGTGAGCGATCTACAAAGGCATTCATATGTCTTTACATACAGCAACAATATTAAATGTATACATGCGCAAAATTTCATGCATATAAACATGAATATAGTTTATGCTCTGACGCGTTCCAACGCATACCGTGTCATAATCATTCATGCATGTATACACAGCACTATTGCTGTGTATGTACACATTTTAAAAGTTTTCGCATTTGACTGGGTTGTTGTTTTTTTTTGGAGAGAATGTAACGGTAGAAGAATAATATATTATAGAGTAAAATGAATCATACATGCTGGAAAAAAAGACCCTAACTAATCGATCAACCAAACATTTGTTGCTCCACTTCGTGTGACTTTTTCGTCTTTTATAGCCATTACCACGTTAAAAGAAAAGCAAAATAACAGCTTGTAAGTTGTTTGTAAAATTAGTTTCGTACTGTGGAAATGAATACGTGTGTCCTGCAAATGTATATTTTTGAGTATTACTTAATTGCACAATAACGACATACGTGGGTGATGCGCGCAGTAGTGTAACAAATTTGATTACTACCCACTGGTTGAATGTAAATATAGACCAACTATCATTTACATATAAATATGAAACCAAATATCGGAAAAGAGAGTCAACAAAATCGAATAAATTGCCATGCAGTGTTATACGCGTCAACTGATTTCCAAAATCATTCGTATTCCGGTCATCAGACGAGACAACTATTATAGGAATGAAACAGAAATCAAAATGGCTCAACAACAATATCTTAATGTTGATTGCAGCTGTGCATCAGAAGAAATCATCAAAGCGCATCGCACACCTGACGTTCCATTGAATATATTGCAAGAGCGTACAATTGAAGAGATACGCAATAAAGGTGCTGAAAAAGAGCCACAATGGAATACGACGAAAGACTTTACACATTAATAATATCTGGTACATTTTGTGTTACATCATTTAATATCTTTCTTTTTGAAGTTTTTAATAAAACAAGAGTGAAAAAAAATTTTTTCTTTGTGTGTGCTCGGGTGATTCGTCTTCTTTTCTTTGTAGTGTCTGTACAAAATTGAATATTTTCTATTTTTTTTTCTATTTCATTTCATGATATTCACTGTTAATGGACAGTTTCATTGCAAAAATATTTAGTCTATTTCAGATACGAACAAACGCGGATTTTACAGTAGAACTTAAGTATTCATAAGAAAAATTTGTTTTTCTTGTATAGCATGAATCTTCATGTATTTGTTACGGAGAAAAAAACATATCAATGTCACTCTGCACTCAAGCAAGAGATGTTTTTGGCATTCTTTTCGTCCCAAGAGCAACTAATGTCATTTTGATCTCTCTCCCTGTACGTATAGATCAAGTTGTCAGTATTTCTTTTTCTATTAATTTTCGTCATTGATGTATGCTTGTGCGCGTACTTGAAGTTTGGAATAAAATGAAAAACAAATATTAACAAACATCTAATCAAGATTAGATCATACAGAAGTGAATTAAATCTGTTCGAGTCAGTTGAATAGAAACCAAAAACATCACATAAGAGTTCAAGTAATTACTTCAATTTTGAATATTTAAAGTGCCTCCCAGTCTTTGCATAATACTTGCTTTCAGCTTCAAAAATCCGTTTAACTTCTATCTTGACCAGAAATCGAATGACAGCTTTAGGATAACCTTAAACAAACATTTGTAAGTGTCTCGATTGAAACGTACAAATCATTTTCTTCTTCTAGTTCAATTGTTTTAGATGAACAAACCATTGAGTACCATATAATGCTTGCCAAACTGCACCTACATATGTAGTAATCTTTCACTGACAAAGGATATACAAAAACAAAAATTCAATACAATAAGGTGTAGTCCAATCTTCGTCTTAAGGAGCCTCAGTTGTAGAGACTCCGAAAGCTGTCAACGCTCTATTTACGACAAACAAGATAAATTTCAAATGCGTAGAAACATGAATACCCATTGTGGACATGTTTTGAATACTTTGACTTGAAAAGGAAAAGATGCAAGCATGATCTATCAAAATAAAGAAGAATATTTGCTTAGCTATTGTCTGATCATCGAACACTTTTTTAAAGTCCCGGACATACAAAAGCAAAAACAGAAGTTTTTATTCTTTTGTTTATAAATTGTTCGAGTGTGATGAACTAACCAAGACTATCTCTGTTGTCAATTTTTTAGAGTGATTTGACACATGAAAATTTTCAGTTTTTTTTTTAAATACTTTCACTCACTTGCTAGTAGGAGTCAAACTGATCTACAGCAGACGGTTCTCATCTACTAGGGTTAATATACTATAGTGAACTCGTAGATCTGCACATCTAACAACTAAACAACAGTTGATTCAGATGCAGCAAGCGATCAGTTGTTTACAACGCAATTCGATTATCGACAGCTCAAGAAAGGTAGGAAATAAAATGTAAATCTGTCGAACTAAATATATGCATGATCTATTTTGTCGTCTGTTTGAAGACCTTGTTATTGTTATGGCTTATAGCTCTGCCCTGAGCAGACTGAAAACACTCGTTGAAATTGGTACAAATATTTCCACTAAAGGATTTGTTGATCAGTGCGTACTTTATTGCACTTTGAAAATATCGTTTGCCAATTTTTTCTTGTTCGACTTACCGGTTGCTGTCATTATGCTTCTAATCTGCTGGTTGTAACTACAAATCTTGTACAATCGCAAAGAGTAAGTTTGCAATCATACTCGTTGTTATCATTTTCATCTTCATATGCACAATTATGGAATCTTTCGGTGGAAAGTCAACTTGACTTTGCACGACTCGCGGAAACATTTGAAAACTATTCTTAAAAAGCAAGACTATGACTTAAGGGCATACAGCTGGTGTCAGCGCACTGTTACTATTCTTTTCATTGTCTTGGTCTTTCTCTGGGTGACAGGCAACTTTTTAAGTAGCTCTGAAGGACAAATCATATTTGGGAAGAAGATTTAGAAGATAATTTTAATATAGAAAACTATCTGCCTTGATTAGAAAATCGGAAATATAACTCAATTATTCAATAGAATCAACTGTTGAAATTATTTCTATGGGGTGTATTCATATAGTAAGGTGCTGGATTAGCTATTGCTGATGGATTCAAAGTTTGTTTTCACTTGACGAATATTTTTCTACATGTAATTGCGTTTATAGACATCAAATCTATCGACAACTATTGTTCGTCTTCTTTACTTTATTGTTGGAGCATCTAAAACACTCATAATTTTTATTGTAATTATCATCAGTGCTATTTTCACCGAATTTACAGGAAATATCGCATGTGCTAGCATCTTAATTCCTATTCTCGATAGCATCGTAAGAAATTTTGCTTTTCTCTTTGTCTATCATTCAGCTTCTACTGTCTTTTTTTTCGTTAAGTCTCACACGATTAACAACCATCCAACTTATCTTATTATGTCATCATGCATGGCTGCTTTGCTATCGTTCATGTTATCAATCGGTAAGTTGTTCGTTTTCATTTTTGTTCGAGTCAATGACAAATAACTGTTTCTAGCTATTCCACCAAATGCCATAATATTCTCCAATGGTCATGTAAGAATCATGGATTTGCTCAAAGCAGGCATTAGTCTTGAAATTATCGTTATCTTTGTAATTTTGTTTGCATCGATCACTTTTCTTGGACCTATCTTCCATGCTCCTCAACCATCGTTCGTTAATAATGTCACCATGCCAACAAACAATACGATGGAATGATAAAGATGAAAGACATACAAACATTTTTTTATCTGCTCTATCGAATGTCCTATAGCTATTTCTGATATATTTTTGACCGCTATCAACATTTTTTGAAAATAAAAAGAAATGATAATTACTGCAATAAATTATATTATAATTCATAGAAGCATGATTAGGCACGAGAAAAAGTGTATGCATCATAAGACAAATAGTCTATACATATTAAGGATGAAACTTATCCTCAAGATTATAGTTGCTCATAGCCGAGACGATCCGACTTGGATATAAATACTTTGACGCTTGCAAATTTTCAAAAAGATAGTCTCTGTTGTCCTGGCTTGATGTGTTCTTATGAATGGAGCCCTTTTCTCCATCTACTTCTGTCTTGTTCTCAAAGAAATTAATTTAATCTCCGAACATTCATTTGAAAAAGTAGCAATTCTTTCGAAAACATATTGAAAACAATAGTGCTTTTATGGACCTTGGTCCTTTTATCAGTAATGCATCCAGACATGTTTCGACAAAAAAAAATATTTCTATAGATACTATAGAGAGCATTGCAATATAAATTGAATATAAAAGTAGACGTGTTTCTTTTTATTAAAAAAAAGCAGAATACAAAAGAAAAGAAAAAACAACAAACTAATAAATTATGAGTAAAACTAACACAATCGTTTGTATAAGTATAAGATAAATAACAAAAAAAAGAACTATGAGTTGTCGACTATTTGAAGAAGAAGAACATACACGTAAATATCGTCTTCATCGACCAAATTATCCAAAGCAATTATTTGAACATATTATTAATTATTATTTTAATGGTAATCAAACAGATAAAAAAAATTCCACTCGTCCTTGATGTTGGATGTGGTAACGGTCAAGCTACAATTGGACTTAGCGTGTAAATATCATTGTTGCTCTTTGTGTATAAACATTTTTTCAAAAGAAAAATGAATCTTTATTTTTCGATACTGTGATCGAGTGATTGGTGTTGATGTTAGTGTTAATCAAATAGCACATGCTATGCAAAAAGATAATATCGAATATCGATGTAATAAAGCAGAAGACTTAACATTTCTGGAATCAAACTCAGTTGATATAATCACTGTTGCTACATCATTACATTGGCTTAATCTTAAAGTATTTGTTGAAGAAGTTAAACGTGTATTGAAACCTAATATCGGTGTTTTTGCTATATGGACATATGGATTTATGTACATCGGATAATCCAATAGCTGATGCTATTTACCGTGAGTTTGTTCAGATTACATTACATCCTTATTGGAACAGTAGACAATGGTTAACTGATAGGTATTATCAATCACTTTTACTATTATTACTCTACAAATCAACTCTTGTTGAATATACAATTGAACAAACAATAATAACATCAATAGGACAATATATTGATTTAATTGAAACTTATTCTGCATGTCAAATGTATAGAAAACAAAAATTCGAACAAGCATAACAAGATCTAATCGAAACATTTCGTCAAAAAATAATTGATTCTTATACAAAAAATTAAAATCAAACTACTAGTAATGAAACAATCAATTGCAATTCAATTAAATTATCAATGTCAAATCCCATATGACTTTATTTAGTGGAAAAAACTTAAATAAATTAAAATTGCACTAGTAGTTTTTTTTCTTCTGTTTTCATTGTTATTCGAATGTTACAATAAATAATGGTAAAGCAAGATGAGAATCAAATATCACTATTTCATCATCATCATCATCATTATCATCTTTCATTTCCATGTCAAATATCTAATAAAAAGAATTAAAAAATAAACAAGAAATAAAAAAATTATATTAAACGAACTTTAATTGAATCATATTCTGTATTTCTTTTTAATGTAATAGTTGATTTTATTTTTGATTTAGATATAAGTTCAATACGACCTAATGCAACTTTACAAAGAAGAATTTTCTCAACTTTCTAAAATTTAACAAAAAAATAGAAAATGATTACGAAATTAAAAAAAAGTTACCTGTGCTTGCAAGTTTTTTATCATTGAATGAAAATAAAGACCTTTTCCAAATGAGCCATATAGAAAATCTAAATGAAAAGGAAAAAAGAAAACAAATCAATCAAAATCAATTGAATTATTCATTAATGTTAAACCTTCATTAGTAAAACCAGCATTGGCTATTATATCAAGATGATCATGATGACCATAATAAAAAAGTAATGTTTCATTTTTTTGACTACCATTATGTAATGAACCAAGAGAACTTTGATATAAAGCTGTTGTAGCTGAATCAACAGTTATCTAGATATAAAATCAGATTATTTCTTATTTCAAACAAATATTTAAATGAAGATTTGTTTCTATTTTCTCTCTACAGACTGTGTATCAATAATGTCTTGTTAAACTACTTGCATTTTGCATTTCTGAAGGATTAAGCAAAAGACTAATGAAGAAATGTGTTTCAAAATAGAGCGAATAAAACAACCTCTATGTGATTAACAGAAGTAGCTACATCGTATCATATTTTAATTCGACAGTATAGTAGACATTTTTTCATAGACCGAATGGACATTAATTGTTGTTTTAATATAAAAAAGGATTCAATTTCTGCTCATTATAACTGTATCATGTCTCAAATATTAATACAACGTGAAAAACTCGAATCTGATTAAAAAAACAAGCTTTTTTTTACTGATAATTTCCTTCTATGAAAGTTTTGTGTGGTTTGAATTTGTGAAACATTTCGCGAATCTATTATACTGAACAAATGTTTCTGTAAAGTCACTCGATGTCAAAGGAGAATAATTTTTTTTCAAATACTAAGTAGATAAAAGTGAAAGTTCCTTTTTTTTTAATTAATTCATAAAGTGTAAGACATCATTTGAGATCACAGATAATTTTTGCAGAAGTGCTTTCTCAGTATTTTTCACATTAAAAGAGCTCCTAATGCTAACTAGCGGTATTTTTCGACTGATGCTAATAAGAGAAACAATGACTTTTATATCCTTAAATAACTTATGGGTCAGAGTGCTATGTTGCTGTATTTAAGTCATTAAAAAGTAGACTTTTAATTTTTCACCTGATATCTGTTCGAATGTCCACCGTACGCATATAATGAACTAATAGTTTTTTGTTCTAGTGTATCTCTTGTTCGTTTCAAAGTAAGAGAATATACGACTATGTGCTCACGAAAATCACTTATATAGCTCGAAGATTACCTCTTACAAATTTCTTTTCCTATGCATTGACGATCCGAGATTTTCAAAATTTGATATCAAGACAAAGGCATAATCATTATAGATTCAGATGAATTATGTTCATTTTTAATAGATTATAATCTAGTATAGAATTTATTTCTTATGTTATTTGCAATTAAAACCAATACGAATAATAATTTGTTACGTGAATAGAGAATGTTTGTTCTTATTCGTAATTATCAACAAACAAGATGTGCAATCATATAAATTCTCTGGTGGAATATTTGTTATGTTAACAAAAAGAATTCAAAATAAAAAAAAACAAACCTTTTTTGCTTTAATTTGATAATTTTCAGGATTTTTAAGTTTATGTGTACAATATTCAATTGCCATTTGTGTATTACAATCATCATCCATCAATAAAGACATTTGAGCAATTAAAAGTTTTTCATTTGATATAGACATTTTTTCCATGTCTTTAATCATTTGATGAGTTTCAAGTTGTTCAATATCTTAATAAAAGAAAAATATTCGATTTATTTATTGATAAGAAAAATCTTTTATATTTACCTTCATTGTTTTCTTCTGCATATGTTTTTGATTGAGATAATTTTAATTCTTAGTAAATTTAACAAAATTATCTTTAAAAAAATTGTTTTTTATACGTAAAACTTACTAAGCGAAGCATTTTCTTTAGCAAGTAAAAATCGTTCACGATTCAAAGAAATAATTATTTGTTCTTGTGTATTTATCTTAATAGATATTTTTAATTAATAATAATAATACTAAAGGATTAATGATTTACCTTAGCATATAAACCAATCATTTCATTTTTTAATCGATTAAATAACGCTGCTTGATTTTGATAACTACTGAACATTGTTTTTTGCCTAAAATAATAAATAAATTATTGAACATAACTAAATCAAAAATAAATACCATTTTTGAAATTGATCATCCATCATAGTCAAACATCGAATAGGATCATCATTAATAACTGAAAAACTAAATATTTTTATTAATATTTATATAAAAATTTTTAAGTCTTTATACGAGTTTAATTATTGCGAAACATGATCAAAAAAGGAATCCATCAATCGTGATAGACGTTGTTGATATACGATCACAAATTGTATATCAATAACGTTTCGTTAAAGTATATGAATTACTTTCTTATTGCATTTGTGGAGGTTTAAGAGTGAAAGACGATGAAGAAATATGTCCCGAAATAGATAGAATAAAATCTGTATATTATTTTATAGTTCAGGTAGTCAGCAAATGAGGTTTTCTGACTTTCTTGATGAGTATGAACGGTGGTAGCTTTTTGTACAAGTGTTAGTTGTATTTTTGTACGGTCGTGAATGATTGCATATTTGTCATAATATCTGGATCGACATACAATCCAATATGAAGTAACTGTTTCAATATAAATTTGAACTTTGTTGCATAGTCATGATGATCTACGATTGTTGATGTAAGAGTTACAATCAGGAAGACTTTTTCCTTTATCGATATCGGTACTACTCAGACTGAACTAGACCGACATGAGTCATTTTTCACTTTTTTCATCTTGTCACAGTCATATCAGCCTGTCGATTAATCATATCTCTCTCTGATTGACAGCTTGTGACAGAAATATCCATATGTCTTTCACACTCCTATTGGTATTCCGAGACACGTTGGTTTTTGTTTCTACCATGGTCTATCATATAGATGATGGAGTTTCCCACCAAGATGCAAGTAACTTCATCGCGTTTCATATTTTAATTCCGTAGGGATGACACTGAAAGTTTTTCCTTTGCTATATTTTTCTATAATTACCATCAGTAAAAATAGTTTTGTGTACGAAGAAGTCTATACCGACCGTTTACTATTACTAGTTACAATTTTGGTTTATACTTTGTTCAAGTGTACTTGTAGTTTAGAAATTTCCAGAGATTATTATCAAATAAATGACAGTTTCCTTTTTTTTCTCAGAAAATATTTTGGAACATCAATTGAACGAAATGCATAATTTCAGAATGTTAATCATACGGATTTTGATCAAATGACTACAAACTCCAAAGAATTGATGTTATAGTTTGTTGCTCACGCTGAATGAAATAACATTATAGACCAGAATTCAATCACAATTATTTTCTAAAAAGTCAATGTATCGCACAGAAATATGCAACGCGCCTGACGGTAACTGAAAAGCTTTTTGTTTGCTTGTATTGTCCTCATATTTGTTGCGCTTTAATATTTATTAGGACATACTGCTACATGTCTGAAAAATTACTTATTGACTAAGTTATAAATTAAATTACTTTGTTGTCAGTATAATTTTTTATCAACATTTATTAAGATTTTAATTTATACATTTAATAAATGAATATGAAACGAGGTAATAAAACAAATCATATCTCAGAAGAAATGAGTCTGTTAACGATTAAATACATTCTCTTAAATTTTCATCATTTCATGCACACACTTTTTTTTAAAATTCCTATCACTAGAATTCAACAGTTGGTATGAATAAGGCACGGTTACTCAAAAATGAGTCCTGCTTGAAGTTAACGTGTGAATTGTCTTCATTAAAGCTCATCGAGTTGATCCCAAACTCGGTCATATATGAAAATTTTGCGCCTAATGGAGTCTAGTCGCCAAATAAAAAAAAATCAGAAGAAAATATTTCGTATCTTCGGGATGACTATTCTATTTTGATTAGAAAATTTCATTGAAAGTATCAAAGTAAGGTTTCCCCGAGTTACAAAATTTCGAATCAGATAGGTTCTGGCTTTCGCGTGAGCAGTGCAATTTTTTGTTAATTGATTAACTACTGCATAAGAAGTATATTTAAAATATTCATCTTTCTTTTACCATTATATGGTGGTAAATAACACATTTTTGTTGTATTTGTCCAACAATCACCAATATCTCTAGAATGAATAAGGAATGGATTTTTAACCATATAAAGAAAATTTTTTTTACTTGTATTTGCTTAATATTATAGAATCTTCTGTAAAACCAAATTTTCGATAAAAATCAATAGCACTTTGATCAGATGCTGTTAT